TGAGAAGGGTCATGTTAGAGGAAGCCAGGTCAGCGCTGCCACCGAGGAGGCCCGGGAGGACCTTGGCCAGGGCGTTGAGGTTCTGTTGGGAGAGGTTGCGGGTCGCGTCCCCAGGGGATTCGGGTGTGTATGTCTAAATAAGAGAGAGAGTAAAAAATGATTTAAATAATTTATACGTTGATATTGACAATGATAAGTAAAGAAAAGGTTGACTCGGATCCTGAGAGCTGGCAAACTTGTAGTTGTAGCTTTCGAAGGCAATTATTTTATTTTTTGTTTACTAAGGATGAGTTCACCAGAAAGAAATGACACATTTACATATTCCAGCAAAGGTGTATCTATATATCTCATGTTACCACAAATTCATTAATAAAGAAGATGTTCAACACTCGCATAATAGTAAATGATTAAAAAAAAAAGGCACAAAAGAGTACTCACAGGAAGGGCCTTCTCCCAACCAGCGGGGAGTTCACCAGTGATGATAGATTTCAACTCGGCTGCTTCCTCTGGGTACTTCTTTTCATATTCAGAAAACTTGGCATTCCATTCGGCTTCGAAAGCAGCTCCCCCAGCAACGTGTCGGCTCCAATGGCTGCCATAGAAAAGAGTACTAAAATCACACGGGATTCTACGGAAAGGAAAAAAATAATAACCTTTCAATCCGGGAACGTGAAGCATTCTTACTTCTTCACATCCTCAGGCACGTGGAAAGGCTCATACGGCCATCCTAGGTTTTGTCTAGTGGCTTCGACTTCCTTGGCACCCAAAGCACTTCCATGGACACTGTATGAATTGGCCTTGTTTGGTGAACCAAAGCCAATAGTTGTAGTAACCTGCTTATAGAAAATAATAATAATAATAATAATAATAATAATAATAATAATAATAATAATAATAATAATAATAATAATAATAATAATAATAATAATAATAATAATAATAATAATAAATCATCAAAACGTCAAAGAATTTGGTAAAATTTAAGAAACTAGGAGGGGAAAAGACCTTGATCAAAGTAGGCTTGTCTTTGACAGCCTTTGCTTCATTGATG